AGCACTCTTGTCAAAGGGACACACAGACCTGTGACCTGCAAGATTCGCATCCTGCCATCGGTAAGGATGGTGTTTTACATTTCAAGGTCCATTTTCTCTGGGTGTGTTGATTTGGGGGGTGGTGAATGATTCTCGAGGAGCTGAATTAGGTTTGGAGGAGGGATTGGTGAACCCACTTTGGGAGCTGGCAGCTAGCTATTCCCTCTGTAGCTTCAGTAACCACCCTGGGCTGTCCTCTTCCTCAGCTGGAAGATACCTTGAGCCTTGTGAAGCGGATAGAGAGGACTGGCATCGCTGCTGTCACAGTTCACGGAAGGTGAGTGGTTGTGTATCTAGTGACTGACTTGGAGGGAGGTTCTCAGCCGTCTTTTTTTTTTTTTTTTTTAAGATTATTTATTTGAGAGACACAGAGAGATAGCAAGAGAGAGCACGAGTGGGGGGTGGAGGGCAGAGGGAGTGGGAGAGGAAGAAGCAAGACTTCCTGCTGAGCAGAGAGCCCAACTCAGGGCTCTGTCCCAGGGCCCTGGGATCACAACCTGAAGGCAGATGTTTAATGGACTGAGCCACCTAGGCGCCCTGGTCCTCAACCATCTTAACAATGCTTCTTCAGACCCCAGGGGACAGTGAACTTTTCTTCTATACATGTAGCCTACCTCTGCCTAGCTCTTTGACATCCTATAGGTCCTGAGGGCAGTCAAACCCTTTATAGGCTGGCATTCTTCTTTGTTTCATTCACTGAACACCTACTGGTGGTAGACACTGCACTGAGTTTAAAGACAGAAGAAGAGGAAGACTGAGTTTAGAGACTCAAGGGGAAGAAGAAATGCCCATACCCTCAGGATGTGTAAATGGTAGAGATTGAGTGATAGGTTCAGAATTGTACCATGCAGCCAGGAAGTGGTAGAATTAGAACTCTTGACTCTGAATCTCATTTTCTTTCCACTACGTTGGGCCATGGCTTCTCCCTCTAATGATCCCAGGCAGATGGCTGTTCTTTTAAAGGCACTGTCTCTTTTGTCTGCCCTCGTTGAACTGCCAGCTGTCACAATGACTACTTGAAACAGCCCTTGTATCTGTAGCTAATGTGCTATCTTCTGGGAGCTGACGTGTTGCTGACAGCTGCTTTTGGTTTCCCAGGCAGTTTTGCTCCCTGTGTCTACGATGAGCTTTCGTACATCCCAGGTAAACAGACTTTGGCCAGAGTGACCCGCCTTCTCTGAGTGTTTCTCCTTTTGGGTTCAGGGGTCTTGCTGGAACAACCCACTGCTTGCTGGTTGTTTCTATTCCAGCATTTCAGACAAGTGAACCCATAACTCCCAACAGGGAAGAGAAAAGCAGAGCTGTGTGGGTTGAAGCCAGTAGGGGGCGGTGAAAGGCCATACATACGTACACACATGCCCCTACCTGCCACAGTAGGCTCTAGGCTCAGGCTGCCTGGTTTGGGCTCCTGGCTCTGCTGCTTGTTGGCTGTGTATCCTTGTACAAATCACTTAACCTCTCTGAGTACCACATTCCTCATTTGGAAATTAAAACAATTTCTGTTTTATAGGGTTGTCTTGAGGCTTTTATGAGATCGTGAATATATAGCCTTGGCATGGTGCCTGGCATATGGTATTCTCTGAATAAATATAGCTATTCCTTTTTGCCAGTAGTTGGAAACACCAGGAAGACAGATTTGGATGCATTTCAAGAAGGGCCTTCAGACCATCAAAGCTGTTGAGGATGGACTAGACTGGCTGCTGGGCTTGTGGGGAGGTGGAGGTGGAAGATGGGTTGACAGGCCTTCTGAGGTCCTGTGGCCCTTGACCCTTCTATTGAGGAGTATACCAAAAGGGATGGGCCCAGGCAAGACCTGAGCAAGAGCTGTCTGGTCACCCATCTCTTTTGCTTGTTCCTGAGCACAACTTAGATCAGAGCTCACTTCAGTATCCCTGAGACTGACTTATACACAAGAACTTCTTGCAGTTAACCTTGGAAAGAGGGGCCACAGGCTGTGGTCCTTCCTTGCTGGAGCTCGTTGTGACAGCCATGATCTGTGGCCTGTCCTGGTTGCTGGGTCTACCCTGTGCCAGGTACCTTTCCCCAGGATCAGCTGCCCAACTTGTCTTCAACATAGACAGCTGTGTGGGAGTGGCCAGTCTGAGGGCAGCAGCTGTTCCCAGTCTCGTAGGGAGGGCAGGGCCGGGACAGTAGAGGCAGCATTCTTATAGCACTGTTCCTCATCTCTGGCAGAGGTGAGGGGAAGCCAGGGAAAGGCGGTATGACCTTGGGAGCCAGGCCACCTCTGCAGCCATGCCTTACCTGCAGGCCTGTAAGGCTGGACTTGCCTTCCCAGCAGGGGCTAATGCTGCTCCTGCCCCTTACAACAGAGGTCATGGAGAGACATCCTCTGCAGTCCAGAGTCCTGTTCTTCATGGTCACGTGTCCTTCCTGAGGTTCAGCAGGGAGGACAGTAGGGTTTGACTAAGGTAAACTGTTTGAACTATGACACAGCCTGAGCCCTCGGCCCCATCTTTTTTCTTTATTTCCAAGGAAGCGGGAGGAACGACCTCAGCACCCTGTCAGCTGTGAAGCCATCAGAGCCATTGCTGAAGCCCTCTCCATTCCTGTCATAGCCAAGTAAGCCTCTCTTCTTCATCATTTACTATTTTATGCTCCACCTCACTCTGGGGGATTTGAGCTGACATACAAAAAGTGGATGGAGATAGTATTAAAAAATGATCTGAGGGAAAAAGAAAGAAGGTGGGGCAAAAAATGAGGTTGGGCATGAGGTTGAAAAGTCTGTATCATGTCCCCTGGCCTCTGGTGAGTGGCTGATGTAGGTGTGCAGCAGGCAGGGCGTTCTGATAGAGGAGTTGAGATAAGGGAGTGTTCCGGGGACGGGGAGAGCAGAAGGCGGCCCCTGAAGCAGGCCCTGGGCAAAGTGATGTCACACCCAGAGTTAGGTATGCAGGGTGTAGGGTGAGTAGTCCCAAGCCAGAGTGTACAGAGGTATGGTTAGGGAGCATAAGGCAGGTCACAGTCCAAAGCATTCTGGGCATCTACAGGACCAGGAGCAGAGACATTTGTGAGGCACAAATGATCAGCCTGGAGACTTAATAGTAAGACAGTGTCCAGTTGTCACTGGGGAGCTGGCTGTGTGGGCCAGTTGGGATCCAGTGGAGCTTTGCACCTTGGGAGGGCACAGAGCCTGAGGACAGGATGGGAACAGAGAAGTTCCAAAGCCCTGAAGCCCTGACAAAAGGCACACCTGACTGGTGGGAAGGAGGGAGGGAGCTAAGGTTGGGGGTCTTAGCCAGGCCTGGTTGTCGCTAGGCCAAGGACTTGTAGGAGTGGCTTGGAGAGGGTAGGGCTACTGGAGAGCCTGGATCCTGCTGCTGCTGCTGCCACCCAAGGGTCTTCCCCACAATACATAAAATGCTGTCTCTGGGTTGAGGCTGTCACTTGACTTCTAGTGGAACGGATGCAAACAGCGGTTTCCAAGGGGGCCCTTGGGGCCTCAGGGTGGCGGGAAGGGAAATTGCAACCAAACTGGGCCTCCTTCCTTCCTCTCATAATCACCACTGCGTCTGTGGTTTTTGACCCAGCCATTAGTAGATACATAGGTGCCCCAGACTGGGGGTTCTCCTGTGATCCCAGCATCTACTGACAGACCCAAGTCTTCAGATTTGGGATGGCTTTAGGATGAGGAGGAAGGAAGGTAAAATATTTGGGACACTTGTTATGTACGAGGCCTGGTTCAGGCTGTTTCGCTGCATTATTTGACGTGAAGTTCCTGACCCCAAAGTGGGGTGTGTATTATGACCTCTGGTCTCCTGAAGTGCTCATAGCTGAAGGATTTTGCCAAATCCAAACAGTTAATCTCAGCAGATCTGAGAATTGCCTTTTTCTGAAAATGCTGGTATAAGGATGGGGACAGCCCTCACTCTCCTGTTGCCTTTCAGTGGAGGATCTCACGACCACATCCAAAAGTATTTGGACATAGAGGACTTTCGACAAGCCACAGCAGCCTCTTCGGTAATGGTGGCCCGAGCTGCCATGTGGAACCCGTCCATCTTTCTCAAGGAGGGTCTGCGACCCCTGGAGGAGGTCATGCAGAAGTACATCCGATATGTACGTCTATGCGCTTTTTCAAAAGAAACATTTCTCACTGTCTGCCACATTCCTGCAAAAAGCACCTTGGGTGAGCTCCCAGCCACCAGCAGCCTTTTTGTGCCTCTCCTTTTCTTTTTAGCTCTTGTAATGTGGAATTGGGTCTCCCTGGCTGCAGTGTAAAGACAGCGTGCTGGGGAGTCCTGCCTCTACCATCACCTCCTTCTGAAGCTTCCAGGCGTGGGGGTCATAGTAAGGACCCCTGGATTCTGGATGCTGCCAGGGTCCAAACATGTGATGTCTTTCCCTTTCTCTCTCATAACCCCACCGCCATACATGCACGCACAGTGACAGTGGTGTCTGTATCACTGAAGACACCCGTGCCAAAGGGTTGGCGCCTAAGCAGCCACAGCCTGGAGGAGCCATGGTAGCTGTTGTTGAGCACAGATTATAGAGACTTTTCTTTGGTCATAAGTTAGAATCACTTCTAAAACACTTTTTTTTTTTTTTTTTTTTTGCTAATTCCTAGAACCCTTTACCCTCTGACTTAGGGACAAGCCTAACTTTAACCCTCTCCTTAGGGACTAACCTTTTCCTCTTACTGAGATCTTGATGGTAGTGGCAGAGGCATTTACCTCTGAAGGAACTTTTTTGACCAGTTCACCTGTCCTGTCCCTTTGGCACAATCCTAGAATTCTGTGAGACTCTGAACATGTTTGCAGGCAGAGATAGTCAGTGGACTTCTTTTTTTTTTTTTTAAGATTTTACTTATTTATTTGACAGAGATCACAAGTAGGCAGAGAGGCAGGCAGAGAGAGAGGAAGGGAAGCAGGCTCCCTGCTGAGCAGAGAGCCTGATGCGGGGCTCGATCCCAGGAACCTGAGATCATGACCTGAGCTGAAGGCAGAGGCTTAACCCACTGAGCCACCCAGGTGCCCCTAGTCAGTGGACTTCTAATTCTTTGGTGTGTTGGGCCTGAGCAGAGAGTCCAGCCCTCATCCTCTTCAATACTGGGGCTCACACCCTTCTGGGAGATCAAGAGCTTCTCAGATCCTCAGACTGCCCATACCCTCTTGAGGCCCTGGCCATGCCTATGGTTGCTGTGGCCACCATGGCCTATGGGTATCCCCAGGACTGTGCAAGCTGGCAATGGTAGGAGGCCCTGAGGCTTCTGTCCAGAGATAGGCAGTTTCTATTCTAGAGCCTCCCCTGCTTGATGCTACAGCCCTCATTCCCTGGGTTTCACATGTCCTGTTGGGCAGATTGGTGACTACTGGGCTCTCCCATACTCTGGGCCAGCCAGAGACAAAGGGGGGGTTGCCTTAGCCCAGGCCACCTGTCTGGCTCTTGCAGCTGGCTGGCACATCTGTAGCAGGGAAGATACACTCAGCACTGCTCCCTGTGAAAGGTGATGTTATCATTCCTACTTAGTGTGTCCTTTGGCAGCTCCTCAAGAGCTGTTGTCCTGGAGGAAAGGAGTGGCTTACAAGCAAAGGCAGGGCTGCTTCTGGTCCAGCCAGGTGCCTTCTGTCCCTGACAAGCTGAATCAAGCCCTTCCCACTAGCTGGGGCTTGCCAGCAGATCGCTGCTTTGTCTTCTTCATGTCATACTGCCTTCCCAGGTGCTGAAGACATAGGCCTAGGTGGGGATATTAGAAGGGTATAGAGGGTGAGGGCTGGGAGGGTATTCTAGAGGGCCAGGGCATCTCTCACCCAGGGCTTTCCTATCTGCCCCAGCCAGGCAGAGCTTCTAGTGTGCTTCTCTGTGCAGTCAGCTTGCCTCCCTGAGCCTGCATTTGTCAGGAGTAGTGGTAACAGCTGCACCTCATGCTTGTGAGACTTGTGAAACTCAATGAGGGGACAAGTCACATGTGAACATGATTGGTAGATGGTGCTGTGCTTTCCCATGCAGGTGGGATGTTGGAGACAGGTTATTTAAGATGTGGGCAAGGAAGGTATCCACTGTGTATAGAAACAGAAGAATCTTGTCCCTATCCTGATGTGGCTCCTGCCACCCCAGAATCTGACTTGCTCCCTGTCCTTGCCCTGGAAGAGCAGCAAGTCCTCCGTGGTAGCCTGTGGTGGCTGAAGCAGGAGGTGCTCCCTACATATCTGGACATCCTTTGGCCTGTCTGGTTGAGCATGCTCCTAACCCTGGATCTCAGCTGTGACTCTTGAGCTTTGTACTGCTCGCTGGAGGAGTAGATGGCCAGGATGGAGGTGGTTTTCCTTATGGGCTCACAGTGCCCCAACTGCAGGCACACCTCTGCTGTCCCCTTGGAGCCCCTTTCTCTGCCATCAGGGCATAGCTCAGGCCTCAGAGCCTGCCTGGGCAGCAAGTGGGCTCATGCTGCTTCTTCCCTCAGGCCATACAGTATGAGAACCACTACACCAACACCAAGTACTGCTTGTGCCAGATGCTACGAGAACAGTTGGAGTCGCCCCAGGGAAGGTTGCTCCATGCTGCCCAGTCTTCCCAGGAAATTTGGTGAGAGGGGCAATGGCTATCCGTCATTCCTTGCAGACATTGCCAGGCTTGACTATGAGCCCTAAACTGACTGTCTGGGACCAAGGATGCAGCTTCTGGAGGTGGATGTATAGGAGTGGGGTTGTGGTACAGTTTCACCTCACAGAAGAGGAAACTTAACGAAGCTTTGGAACTTTCCATCCCTGGACTGACCTCACAGCAGAATTTGGGGAAGTAGAATGCTGGTAGGATGGAGGAATATGGGGGCTGGGCTTGGGAATTCTGGAGGAAAGGGCTTTCATGGTAAAAGATCTGTCACATACTAGACCCAATGCTCAGGAGGTGGAGGTTGTAGAATTGAGCCCTTGGCCTGAGCCTGTGCCCTCAACCCATAACTGCAGTCTGGGAAGCTCCCCCTTGGTCCCCTGCATTTGGTGTAGATCCTCACAACCTGGCCTGGTACCTATTCCTCTGGCTCCCTGTCTGCTTGTCTGTTTTCCCAGCTCCACATCTGTGCTCATGCTGGGTCTTCTGCCTGAATGCTCTTTCCTCCTCCCTCCTTAGAGAAACTTTCCTAAACCACACTTGTGCCCAGGTACCCAACCTCATGAATATGCTTTAGCCTTCAAGATGCTTGCTAGAAGGGAAAAGAGTTGTCAGAACTCTCTTCCCAAACCTGGGCTTGCGGTGTTGTTTCTGTCCCTACCCCACATAGCTTAACTAGCTTGACTTGGGTATCTTGTGAGTCTGAGAGAAAGAGTATAACTCTGTAGTTCTGGGTGGTACCTCAGTTTAGGCTAGGCCTAACTACTTGTGGCTCGGGCAGGAAGTGGGGAACCACTTAGTGGTCGTGGCCTCTGTCTCTTCCTCCCTTGGGCCCACATGAGGATGGGGCTGTGTATAACCCAGGCACTTGTTCAGTGTAGGTCAGTTCGCTCACTGCTGGCTGGGGACACTTGCCTGTGTTTTCTTCTTTGGAAGAGATGCTGGGCTCAGGTGGTAGAGGTGACCTTTATAGCCTTTTCCACCCAGCCCAGCCTGCCCTCCAGTGTCCAGCCTCAGAGGCTCACACTCACACTCTGCCAGTCAAGGCTGATCCCAGGGGTAGGTAAGGGAACCTCCTGATGGCTAGGTCTCAGTGGTGTTTTCGTGTGTGGGGGAGGGGGCAGGAGGGTGGGGTGGTCATTTCTCAGCGGTGAGACCCTGGGCTCTTGCAGTAGTTTCCTGGATGCTGGGTCCACTAAGGGGTTTGCTATACTCTGCTTGTCTTTCCACAGTGAGGCCTTTGGCCTTGGTGCCTTCTACGAGGAGATGACACGAGAGCTAAATGCCCGGCGGGCTGAACTCTTGGCCAGAACCCCAGAGGCTGCGGTGGAGCCAGCTGAAGACACCTCTGGTGTCATTAAGATGGCTGTCAAGTTTGACCGGTAGGTCTCCAGGTTGGCCTCTGCTTGGCCAGGGCCCATGGCCTTAGCTGGCTGATTGCTATACATGGTTAATGTCAAGTTCAGGGATCACAGGTCTTCTTCGTTTGGATCCTTGTTCTCATTTTTCAGCATCCCAAAGAAGGCAGTTTGGGGAAGATGGTTCCTAAAGGGCAGGCAGCACTGTCAGGGGTGTTGTCCTGGGGTGACCAAACTTCTTTTTTTGATTCGCCTTGTCCCACAACTCAGGGGACATAATAAGGGTGGGTACTGAGCTAGATCCCAGACCACTGCTTGGCCACCTATGTTCCCAACCCCCACCGGATCCCTCTGGCTTGTCTTGAGAGGCAAAGTGGATCTTCTTCTTCTTCTTCTTTTTTTTAAGTAAGCTCCACACTGGGCATGGAGCCCATCGGGGTACCTGAACTCATAACCCTGAGATCGTGACCTGAGCTGAGATCAACAGTTAGGACACTTAATCAGCTGAGCCACCCAGGCTCCCCTGGACTTTCATTTTTTACTATTGAAAGTTGTTTTCCAGGCTAGAGTTCAGAGTGCTGGGAGTTCACTTTGTATCCTAGTTCCCCAAGCATGCTGAAGCCCATCTTCCCTTTAGGTAGAATCCAGATCCCACACCACTGGTGGGAGGACAGAAATGGGAGCTCAGGGGAATAAGTACAGGAGTCCTAAGGCAGCAACCTGGTGGTGATTGTGGGCAAGGCCTGACTCCTTCCCCTCCTTGCCCTAGGAGAGCATACTCACCCCAGATCACCCCCAAGATGTGCCTGCTGGAATGGTGCCGGAAGGAGAAGCTGGCGCAGCCTGTGTATGACACGGTGAGTTCTTGGCTGTGGCCTGCCCTGCATCCTGCTCTACAGTGCCTCCCACAGCCGGTGCCATCGCTCCCAGCATACCCATAGCTCGTACCCTGAATTCCAGACTGCTTGACTGAGGCTGGCTTTGCCCTCCGTGGACATGGCAGTGGTTGCTGGTGGCCTGACTGTTGCTGATGTGATAGTTCCTTCCCTGTGACAGTGGGCTTATTGTCAAATTCTGACCACTTTCATAAAATTGAACTTGAGACCTACGTAAGGGGGCTGCTTGGGCCAGTCTCTGCCGGTGGTATTGCTTAGATCAGGAAAACTTCTCTGGAAAGGACCAGGTGGCTTACTTAGGAAGGATGCTCAAACCTAAGTTAGACAGACATGTGTCTGGACCAGGACTCAGCCAGTAGGGCTCAGAATTGGGCCCCCGACCTGAGACCCCATGGTGGAAACTTTAAGACAGTCTTGCTTCATCTCCTTTGGTCCCCATGGCCATGCCTTATTTAGGGTGCTCTGTCTCTTTGGACTAGCCTTCTTACCTCTGATCTCCTTCCAGGACTTGTGTCCCCCTCTTCCAGAGTGACTTTTCCAGAACAAATCTGCCCTCTGCCTTCCTGCTCAAGTCTCCTCTCCTCAGTGCCTTTGGGGTCAAGCCCTAGCACCTCAGCACAGAGCGCAAGGCTCCCCACATGTCTTTCTGCTTCCTGTCTCATCCACTCAGCTCTTTGTCCAGCCGTATCACCTGGTTGTTCTGCCAAGTGTACCTTCTCTGCCCCATCCTTGACCCCTCTTACCCCTTTGCCATCTGGCGAATTTCTCCTCATTTTGTGTGACCTGGCCCATCCAAATGTTAGTAGGAGCAGGATCCAGAGTCACGCGCTGCTAAGGGCTCTGATGGCCCTTGGCTTAGGTACGTGATTGACCTCCTGACACACTGGAGTGTCATTGTCTGGTTATGTGTCTGCCTTTCTTCCTCGGCAGACGCACCAGGCACTTCTCCTGGGGAGGACCATGTGATACGGGTGGCCTTCATTTAACTTCGGTGGGAGGTATTTCCCTTTTTCTGTCTTCCACATGGTCCTAGCAGGTGAGCCCCAGGACTCATTCCTCTTGCCCCCATGCAGCCATCCCTATTTCCTTTCCTCTCTTTGCACCAGGTTCAGCGCCCCCTGGATCGCCTTTTCTGCTCTGTCGTGACTGTTGCTGAGCAAAAGTACCAGTCTACCTTGTGGTGAGTTGGGATGGAGGGCTTGGGACAAAGGGCCTGAACTGAGCCTTGGCCGAAGAGGGTTTGGGGAGGATGGTGTACCTGGGCAGTGGATATCCCCGGGCGAATACCCGCTTCCTCGGTCTTGTTAGAATCTTTGCCAAGGGTTTATAGAGTCAGGCCTGTCCAGCCTCTTGCCCTGCAACCAGCCTACCTACCTACGTGCCTTATTGTCCCATGCCTCATCTGCCCAGGGACAAGTCTAAGAAATTGGCGGAGCAGGCTGCGGCCATCGTCTGTCTGCGGAGCCGGGGCCTCCCTGAGGGTCGCCTGGGCGAGGAGAGCCCCTCCTGGCACAAGCGCAAGCGGGAGGCCATTGACCAAGACCCTGAGGGTTCCAGAAATCAGGAGCACACGGTGCCTGGGGAGCTGTGCAAGAAGCTCTTTGTGGCCTTGGGAAGTGGTGAAGAGAGCCCCCTGGGAGGCTGGTGAGCATTGTCCCTACCTGGGTCACCTGCTTCAGGAGCCTGGCCGTAAGATGTCTATGGGTGCAGACCATGAACCAGATGCCATCGGACGATTCTCTGACTGTTCATGGCAGGAGTTACGACGTCCTGACCTGGGCTGTCAGCCTGGAGCACAGGCTAAAGGGTGCCTAGGGTGCACATCTCCCTTGGTGGGTCTGAGTAGCAAGGCCGAGTTCCCAGTGACCTCAGTGTTTTCTTTGAAAACAGGAGCTTTTCAGGTGGTGCCTCCTCAACCTGACATTGATACAGTGCAATAAAGATCCCCCCACCCTTCCCCACAGCTGGCTGCTTTAGCCTTGGGCATCTTCACACACAGACACAGGGCCTGGCGTAATTATTCTACTTCCATCCTCTGTGCGGAGTTGGAGTTCCCTAAAGCATATCCTTCTGGGTCTGCGTGGAAGTGGAAGGGGTATCATCTTGAATGCACACAGGACTTGGGATGAGCCAGGAAGGCCCAAGAAGCCCATTCTACTGATGGCAAACCTGAGGTACTGCCCATCAGTGAATTTTCATGATGAGATGTGCTATAGAACCTGGGGGACAATTAGGGTATCTGGTGCTCCCGGAAGGGACCAGCTCAGGTGAGTGTGGGGGGCCCTGGGTTTGACCCCTAGCTAGCTGGAGCCCAGACCTGATGAGGTCTCTGCTCCAGACAGGGGACACTGAGGACACACGTTGCTGATGCCAGCAGTTTAGGGCCCTCACAATTGCCCACCCACGCCACTGCCTGCCACCAGCCCCCACTATCCCACTTGGGCCGGAAGGAAGTGGCAGATTCTCTTTAATTTCCTCTTGGCAGTGAGAAGCAAACAAACGGCTACCACATCTCATGGGGCCTCCCCCTCTTACTGGGAGGGGCGTTCTGACCAAAGGTCCCTGCCCTGCACCACCCCCGCTTCCTCCACTGTAAACACACTACTTCTCCTCCCCTTTTCCAAGTTCTTTGGGGAGGAGCGTTCCCCTCCAGGCCAAGGCTATGTTTCTCTTCTGTCGCTGGGGTCAGGCCCCTGTGCTAGGCTGCTGGCCCCGGTGGACCGAATGAAAGATCAGGCATGTGAGGCCTCCGTCTCAGTCCCTGAACCGCCCTTCCCCTCACACTTGTTCTTCTGTATGCAGATAAGGATACCGCACTACCAGCTGCCTCCCAGAGCCCATTGCTGTCTGACCTTGGGAAAGTCACTTCTAGCTCTCTTTGGGCCTGAGGGCCCTCAGAGGAGAGGGAGATCAGCTGCTCTCTGCTTGCAGGAGGCTGGCTGGAGGATAAATAGGCCTGTGATTGGGGCACTGTGTGGCTAATGGGGTCACTTCATGCTGGGGCTGCCCTAGCTTCCTAGACTAGCGCTCCAAGAGAAGGGACCCCACCCAGGAGACAGCTGAGGCTTGGTCCAGTCTCAGCCATCAAGCTTTAGGCACAATTTCTGTCTGATTTTTCTCACAAAAAAACTGTCTCAGTTAAAATGCCTCCTTTCCTTAGATCCCAACTGGAACAGGGCAGACAGGGTGGCCCTAGTGGACCCCTGGGCATCCTGAACTAGTCAGAGCTTGTGGAAGGACCCTGTGCTAGCCAAATACCAAGTCTTAAGATCCACTTCTGTGGGGTTGGGCTGTACCGCCTTTTCTCCCACCAGTGTACTTTCCCTGGGGAAGCCCCTTCTCTGGTGGGGTTAGGTTTATTTCTGGATTTTGGGGAAGGAGAGGCAGGGTGAAGCTCAGCTGTTAAGATAGAGGCTAGAAAAATAAAAAGAGAGGCTGGAATATGGGAAGTTAGAGGGCCAAGGAAAAGCACTGGGGAGAGGGTCATTGACAGGGGAGCAGGTGGAAAGGGGCTCCTGTGCATTTCATAACTAAGGATATCTGGCCAAGATCCCAAGTATATCCCAGGTATATGTTGGCTTTCAAATGGTCTCATGTTAGCATACCTGAGAGAGGCCTGCCCTGCTCTCAGTGACCTGCACAAGTCTGGGACCGACTGGGAGGGCCCAGTCAGGTCTGAAAGCTCTTCTCATTGTTCTCACCATGCCCACCTTAAATTTAGGACACTTAGATGCCCAAAGCCCTCTATGGGCCAGTGTCTATAATACGTATTCATCCATTCCAGCCACCTAGACTGAAGACTTACTCATAGCTCATCACATTTTGGGGACACATGGTTTTGGGCATGAGAAGGAGGGATGACTAAAGCTGGAGGGGGTGGCACATCTTCCGAAGGCCACAGCAAGACTGGGCTTCGTGCACAGATGAGTGGGGAATCTTTTAACCCTGCACACTTAGTTCTTTCCAGGTGTCAGTCCTGCTCAGAACCCTTCCGTGGCTCTCCACTGCCCTCTGGATCAAGTCCAAACTTCTCAGGCTAGTATCTGAGGACAAAGTGCTGACCCTGTCTTCTCAGCCCTCTGTGCTGACCTCAGCAACCAACGTTTTTCAGTTGTAGTTGGCCGTTATTGCTTCTGCCCAGCTTGGGAGCTGCTCAAGGGCAGTTCTTGTGGCCGCTATGGCCAGCCTTGGTGTGGGTGTGGGGAGCAGGCACAAAAGAACAATCAGACAAGCTTGTTGAATGGGATATGTGGCATGGAAAGAAAGAAGTTTTCTAAACCCTGACTTTCCTCCAAGGCTCCTATTTCCCCTAATGTGGAACAAAAGGTGCTAGGCTGGGCTAAGCTAAGCTGTACCATCCCATGGCTCAGAGGCCACAGGAGAGCCTTCAACACTGGGGGCTCAGGACCAGGCCTATGAAAGTAATGGCTTCCCCTAAATCTCAGGCTTGACTCACATTCACACAGGAGGGAGAGGAGTATACAGAAACCCACATAGTCCTTGTCCATCAGTCTGGGGTCCTATTTACTGCGGTAGTCCCCTGGCCACCTGGTTTCACAGGGCTCTCAGAAGGCTGGAGGCAGGTCAGATGGCTTACTGCCATTTACAAGAGCTTTTGAGTTGATAGGGGAGGTCCTGGCTGAGGAAAAGGGGTAGAGAGACCATGTGAGTGGGGTGGGCCTGCGTTCCAGCCTGCAGGGCTCTTAGCCATTGCTGCCTTTCTGACAAAGATGATAACACTTTTCCTGCAGTCAGTGCCCACCGTGGCTCCAGCCCTTATCCAGTTAGAGTTCTCAGTTTCCTCCAGACCAGAAACCTTCCTAAAACATAATCCCTTCTGAGTGTTCTCCAGCTGCACAGTGGTTGGGGTACACAGATGGATTGCACAGATGCACAGATGTATGCATTTGGAGAATGGGTGAATTTTTAAAGCCATCTCTAGCTTCTGTGTGTGGTCCCTTCCCAGTGGTGGGACTGATAGGTCCAGAATCTATCTCTTGCATTCCCCCTGGCCTGGCTAGTTGAGTCCCTGGTTTGGAGGGCAGAGGGGATGGATAAAGGTCTGTTTCCTCAATCCAGATGACAACCTAGGGAAGTATTTTGGGGAGCGGTCTAGGCAGGGGGACCACAACATATCCTGAAATTGCTCATTAGGATATTTCAACCACACAGTGCTGATTACTCCCTCTCTTTGACCCCTGTTATTTTCTTGTGTCCCTAACCTCCCCCTTTGCCAGAATTCTGAATATGTAAGTTGCTTTCAATCCTTTCATGGCTCCCTACTGGTCTCAAGATAAAGTCTAGATACTTTGCAGTGGACTGTTGCTCTCTGCCCATTCATCTGGCCTTACCTTCGGCTTCTGCTGAGTGCCAGTGCTTTCTGATTTCTAAGTTTTTTAAATCTGTTATCTGCCTGGATTATCTTCCTCACCTCTCAATCATCTTTCCAGTTCCTACTTAGTCCTTTGGAAGCCCTGCAACCCCAGGGGATTATGAATCTTCCTGGAGATCCTGGTACATTCCTAATTTCTTTGCACAGTGATTATAGAATTGCTGGCCTCCTTTCCCCCAACCCCTGAAGGGAGACCAATTTATCTCTGCTTCCCTAGGTCCAGCTCAGGTATGTGTACAGAGCTCGGGGCAGGAAAGATTTTCTGACCTCAGGGATGAACCTATCCAAGATGAGCATCTCATCTACTCTGGACATTACCTGTCCTGACCCAAGGCCTAGTTAGGCCTACCCTAGGGCTCCCTGGTAGCTTGGGCTTTAGTCCATATTTTGAGACCTTTCTTTTCTTTAAGATTTTATTTGTTTGACAGAGAGAGAGAGATCACAAGCAGGCAGAGAGGCAGGCAGAAAGAGGGGGAAGCAGGCTCCCCACCGAGCAGAGAGCCCGATGCTGGGCCTGGGCCGGATCCCAGGACCCTGAGATCATGACTTGAGCTGAAGGTAGAAGCTTTAATCCACTGAGCCACCCAGGTGCCCCATATTTTGAGACCTTTCTATAAAGCATTCCACTTTGTCCTCTTCACCTTTTTGTGGGTGAGTGCCTGGGCCCTTGCACCTGCACCCAAGCGTCTGAGACCTAGTGCCCTGGGTTCCTGCGGCAACTTGCTTCTAGAGATACTATGCCCTGTGGGGCCTGGAGCTAGGGAAGTAGCTCACTGCCACTTCTCCCAGCTTCCAGTCCACACGGTCTTGAAGGAGCCCTAAGTAAACAAGCGAGGCTCAGCGTCCCTTGGCACGGCCTCCACCCCAGGCCCAGGAGGAGGCATCCTTGGTCTCACGGGGAGACAAGCCCGCTGGGGAGGGACCGAGAGCGAAAAACAGTTCTTCAGACACGGTGTCACTTCCTCTCCACTAACAACCACCCAGTTTGGGTAGTGGGTCTTCTCGCTTTCACGGATGTGCACCGGGATGCTGAGGTCACCGAGCCCGTGAGTGGTGCGAGTTCACCACCGGTTTTTTGGATCAATTGGCTTCGACTTCCAGCCATGGACCGACCTTGCCCATGGGGCTTTGCCGAGGCCTCGAATGCGCCGGCTGTCCTCCAGAGAGCAGCTGCCAGCTGGTAGGGACAGACAAAGGCACTGCCACCCGGCGTGGGCCCCGCCCCGAAGGGGTGGGTCTGCATTGTTGAGGAGCTGAGACTCGGGACTCCTCCGGCTGCTGCGCAGGTTTCCTCCGACTCCGCCTCATTCTAGCTGAAGGCTCGGCCCAGCCCTGCTATCCCTAGACTCCACCATTAGGGTTGGGGTGGCAGGATGAGTGCGTGAGTGGCGTTCACGTAACCCTCTCCGGCCCTGACACCTTCCCCAAACCTAGCCATCAGAGCAACATTTCGGCCGCCGATCACCAAACCCATAACCCCACTCGACGTGAGCTCTGCCCAATAAGGAAAGGGATCTTCGATTGGCGGGTGGATTAGATTGCACTCAAATCCAATTAGAGGGCCCTGGTTTAGAAGTTGAGGAGAGAATAGCGGCCGAACTACAACTCCCAGGAGGTAGTGGGGCTATCCAACGCTCTTTGTGCACGTGACTTCCTTCTCCCGGGGAGGGAATCACGCGGTAGGCCGGTGAGGGGGCGGAGCCTTTGGGCAGCTGTGGCTCCAGTGACCTATGGGCAGCACGGTGTCTGGGCGCGCAGTAGGGGGCGGGGTTAGGCGTGCTACACTGCGCGGCAGCGCGCTGGCGGAGGCGGCTGTTGTGGGGCGGAGAGTATCTGCTAAGGTGGCCGTGGCGGCTTAGGCACCAGCGACAGACTGTGGCGGCGGCTCCTGGCGCGGCTAGCTTTCGAGTTTGGAACGGAACGCTCGGTGTCACGGTCCCCGCCCGGAAACTTTGCCGCGGAGCCGCGACCTCCTGGCCCGCGCGGCCCGGCATGAAGCGGCGCTGAAGAGCTGCCGCCTCCGCCGCCTCCGTCGCCGCCGCCGCCAGAGGAGGAGCCGCAAGCACCCTGGGCCACGCCGATGACTACTGCAAACTGTGGCGCCCACGACGAGCTCGACTTCAAACTCGTCTTCGGCGAGGACGGGGCGCCGGCGCCGCCGCCCTCGGGCTCGCGGCCTGCAGGTGGGTGCCGGGCGGGGCGGGACTGGAGAGCGTCCCTTCCTCTCTTGGTTCGCACGAGCTCGCCCGTTCCCTGTACCTTGGTTGTCCTGGGATTGGTAACACCGTGTGTGCATGTTTGTGTGTTTGTGCGTGCGGTGAGTGAAGAGCGGATTTAAGTTGCTGAAGAGGCCGGTGGGTCGCAGCGACGTGGAAGTGGCCGCGGGCTTGGCTGGAGGCGAACTAGTGGGGAACTCGACTCCGGGACGCCTGTGGCCAGTGGACGCCTGCGGTTTGGAGGCCGAGGGTCGGGGCCGTTGCCCAAGTGGCGTCTGGTTGTCGCTGCTTTGCCAGCGTGGTGCAGAGAAAAAGCTGTCCCCGTGAAGTGTAAGCGCGTTTGGCTTTTCATCTATCCCAGGTTTTTAACATTTGTTGTTTTTGTTGTTGTTGTTAGGTGCACATTCTTGAGGTGTAGGAGTTCTCAAAAATTCGTGCATATGTCTGCTTAAATCTACTTTGTTGGGAGAGTAATGCCATCGCGTTAACAACACTTGTGCAAGTTTATGGCCCACATGTAATTCGAAGAGGAATTATAACGGGACTTTTCTGAAAACTGGATTTCTTTTCTTGAGCAAAATGTTTCGGAATATTAAAAAAAGTGGGGTGCCTTCTTCATAATTCTAGAAAGTTCTGGAAGTGAATTTTTGTTTCAATCAAAACCTCACCTCAGAAGATGTTTTAGAGGAGATGGTGAATTGGGAAGGTTGGGCACCATAATGCTTGGAGGTCAGACCAATCAGGAAATAGAAACAGGATGGCTGGGGACTTAGAGCTCTCAAGTGACCTGGTTTGGAATAGTGTGGTTCATTAAGTTCAGTTTCCCTATTGCATATGCAGGCGAACTTCAAAAGAGAGATGGATAAGATTAATCTCTATTCTTTCTGGGTATTAGTTGAATTACTTCATGATGATATTGATGTTCCACAGACTTTTCTGTAGCATTGCATTGAAATACATATCTGAACGTGAAAGCCAAAGGATTTTTTGGACAGTATTTGTCTTATCAGCCCTTTTAGTCTTTATACGTTGTCTTTTTCAACATAGTAACTTACAGTAGTTATTTCTTGCCTGAGTTTATTTCAGTTCCACTGACTGAGCACCTGTTACCTTGAAGACACTGTTAGGTACTTTGTAGTGTTGTGTTGGACGCAAAAGAGGACTGAGGCCCCTCAAGGAGCTTGGGAAATGGGAGGGGGGGGACACATAACCCAAATAATTATGCCCCTGCGCAGACTGAGTGGTGGTATGTGTTACCACATAGGTAGCAATGGAAAAAGGGGAATTTGTGGAGAGAGTAGCACTGAATTTTGTGTTTAGATTATTGGGATTTAATAAGGTAAAAAACCATTTTAATGAGTATTTTTATTATAAAGAAGATAAACAGTTGATGATCTCCGCAGACTTTTTTTGAGCACAGACTTGATTAGGGCATGTTATATACCAAATTCATGATCAATAAAGGAGTATCCTCGTGTAAGTAGGAATTGTATGTACATCCAAAATATTGGATAACATTTAAGAGCTATGAAAACAGCTTTTTAAGAAATGATTTTTGCCATAAAACCCCAAAAACCATTTTGGTATTAAAATGGATCTGGGAGGAGTTAAGGTTTGAAACTTGACCTGTACCTGAAATTCCCAAATTTAAACTTGAGCAGTTTTATTTGATAAAAAGTTCACTTTAAAATATTGTGGTAGCTGTTTTTTTTAAAGCCCCCCCCCTTTCCACCTTAAGGTGAAATATACATGACATACCCATTTTAAAGTGAGCAATTCAGTGATATTTAGTGCATTGACAGTGTTGTGCAACCTCTTCTATCTAGTTCCAAAACATTTTCAACACTGCAGAAGGAAACCCCAAACCTATTTTAAGTAGTTGTTCCTCATTCTCCCTTGTTCCCTCCCACTCCCTGGCCTCCCAGTCCCTAATCTGGGATTTGTTTGTGTGGATTTACCAATTCTGGGTATTTCATGTAAATGGACTCATACAAAAGTGTTTGACTTCTTTCACTTAGCATAGTAGTTCACGGTTCATCCATGTTGTAGAATATGTCATTACTTTATTCGTTTATATGGCTGAGTAATATTCTATTGTATACATACCCCAGTTTATCCATTCCTCCATTGATGGACATTTGGACCTTTGGTTATTGTGAATAGTGCTGCTGTGAATACATAGCAGCTAATTTAAAAATTCTCCTGAGAAGGATGTGTTATATGTTCAAAATTACTTTATATATTATATGTCATATGTTCACAAAATTAGTTTTCATTTTAGTAAGCATAATGATGAGTGTGTAGTTTGAAGATTTTATTTATTTACTTGATAGAGAGAGAATGCCAAAGCAGTGTGAGGGTGAGGGAGAGGAGAAGCAGGCTCTCTGGGAGCCAGATAGGGGGCTCGATCTCAGGATACAGAGATCGTGACCTGAACTGAAGGCTGTCACTTAACCAACTAAGCCACCAAGGTGCTGCT